CGGGGGTGGGGGGCCGCCTGGGCTGGAGCCTGAGCCCGGCCTGGCACTGCCTGTGGGAAGCTGCTGGGCTGGTCTGTGCTTAAGCTGGTTTTTCCTGTGCAGCAAAGGACTCACAGGGGGCATCTCCTGCTGCTTTACGCCATTCCCGGCTCCCCCATCCAGAGGGGCCTTTCAGGAGCAGTGTGGCCGAGGCAGTCGGCCAGTGAGACACAAAGGGAAGGACAACTCCACTGTTCCCGCTTGCAGGCCAGACTCTGTCCCCTGGGTGGGTCATTGCTGAGCTGGGATGTTCAAAGCAGGACCTGGTTCACAAACAAGGCTGAGATTGGGGAAGTTCATGAGTTAACCCATTCATGCCATCTCAAATGGGCCTAGCCTCTGGCTCACCCAACACAGGATTGAACCCATTGTTCCTGGTAATTGGGCATCTAATTTTAATCCTGTTCCAACACGCAGCCATTAACACATCAATGTTGCCTATCCTTGTTGTCCAACTAAGTGATAATAAAGTATTAGAGAGAAGGAGGAAATGCCCCTTTGCATTGCTAGGGGTTCAGGAAGGAATAAGATCCCCCTGAGACACCTCAACACCATGGCAATGTCTGGTGGTGCATTGGGTGCAGGACCTGGCCCAGCGTCCCTGCCCAACTATGCTTCAACAAGGTGACGTGTGTCCTTTTTGCCATCACATTGCCATGACAATGGTGTGGAGGCAGAGATAAAAGCAGAGCAGAGTTTTCCCGCTCTCTCTGTGGTTGACACAGATGAGAAGAGTCAAGTTAGTGGGTTGTCACATTTCATTGTAGCCGTAGTTGTCTTTTGTTCCTTTTGTTCCATTATCTGTATTGTTAGTCATTAGTATCTGTAGCCAGTAGTATTAGCAGTACTAGGAATTAGTCTTAGTATTCTTTCAAAGTAGTCTAATTAGTAGGTAGTTAGTACTCTTAGTTATTAGCATTAATAGGACATAGTTGTCCATCATGTTAGTAATAACCCCCTTAGTTCCTAAGTATCCTGGCCACAGGGGCATGGATGAAAGGCACCGTTCACAGACTGTGCAGCTACGCGACTTGCTGGGAGTTTTCTCACATCTGCTCCTCCTGGTTGCCAAGTCTCGCAATCTGGATCTCTCTCTCTCTCCATTGCTGGAGTGTTTTCCTAACGCAGGACAAGGCCTCCAGTTCCCCACAACCTCCTCCCTGGGCCGTCCTGGCGTCTGGGCACTGAATGAGCAGAGCTCGCCCTCAGGGGCAGGGATGCCGCTCGTCCTTGCCTGATCCGCGGGTAAGCAGGACATGGGGACTTCAGTGCCAGGCCCTGGGACAGCGCTGAGCCTTACGAGCCTGTAGTTGTTTCTAGCCTGGAGGAGAGGCTGGGCCCCAGGTTGGTTTCTGCTAAGTATGTGCTGTCTTTCTTCAGCTGCCCCTGGTCGAAGCAAAGAAAGGGAGTGAAAATCCCCAGCCACCGCCCAACACCTCCAAGGACAGGATGAGAGCCCACATGTTCTGGGACCCCATGGAGGAGGAGATGCTCCAGTGCCAGGTTTGAGGACCCTTTGAATACGCAACTAAAATATATATCCCTAATACACTAGCTGAATGTCAGGTAAGTGAAATTCCCTTCTACATGCAGAGGGTAGAAGAGCTCGGCAGGAGCATCCTTCGGTGCCAGTGAGATCCAGGATGACTGCCTGTCCTCTCCCCAGCGTGCCTCTCCCAGGACAAAGGAAGAGCCAGTCCGCCCCCCCGCAGGTGTTTCTGCAAGTCAGGCCCCGTGGCCCAGAGGGACTTACATCACGCAACTGGAGTAAATAAGTGGAGGGGGCCGGGCTGAGGCTGTCTTAGGCCAGGACATGGAGAAAGAGAGCAGAGGATTTCTTCATACCCTACATCCACATCTTTCCATGACTAAAATGAAACACCACTAAGATATAGATACAGATATAATATGGTGCTTCATTAAAAAAAAAAATCATATAATAATGTGGATTTTGGATTACTTTTTTAATTAAAAAATTGGGGATATTTTAAAATCAGAAAACCAAGATCCTTGATGACCAATAAATAGCTATAAATGCATGGGGGTGCCGACAACACTGGCTAAGCAGGTGGGTTTGCCAGGAAGGGGAAATGGAGAAAATGGACAGAGCAGCTGGGACAAAGTGAACAGCACATGTGAGGTGCGCATGTCCATAGATAGACACAGCGGCCCCGTGACCTCTGGGGATTGCTGCCAAGGCCCAAGGGAGGAGACTGAAGCTGCCCCACCCCGTACCCGCAGCCTGGGCATGGGGATGAGGTGGGTCTTGGGGGGGCAGCGCATGTAGCCTGCGTGTGCGGTGGGGAGTGGAGCAGCCCCGGGGCTTGTGCGGGCTGTGCTTTGGTGTGATGGGAGGAGCCCTGGGCCGCGCCGGGACTCGGACAGGGGTCCGGTAGACACATGCTGAGAGGTAGACGGAGATGAGCCCTGCCTCCCCCCTGCCCGTGTGTGCGCCAGTGCTGCCCACTCGCGGGATCTCTGGCGCTGCTCTGGCGTCTGCGCTTCGGGACTGTGAAACCCGTACCTCTTCCATAGACACGAGGAGTAATTACAGGTTTCGCATCCTTGAAGCGCAGGCTGCCAGAGCAGCACCAGCGATCCCCAGAGAGAGAGAGAGCGCGTTTGTTTGTGCCCCTGTTGGTTCACCGCTCCATCCAGGAGCAGCACAGACCATCCGCACACGCGTCCTCAGCCTGACCAAGGGAGTTTGTGCCTGAAAGTTTGCAAAGAACAATTTTCCCACCTCTTTTGTGCAGTAAAAGAGATCACATTCACACCAAGAACCTTGTCTGCCCTGTCCTCGCACCAGGACACGAGCTCACACCCGCCGCTGGAAAAATCAGCAGCAGAAATTCCCTGGCAAGAGCTAGTTTTTCTTCAATTACAGCCAAAATACAGGTTTAAAATTTCATCAGAAAACACACAATTACATTTTACTATTTCACCTGATTTCTAATACCATTGAAAACAAAAAGCCACTTATGCACACAACCCTCCCTTAGATAACATGAATTAAAAATATGCGGGGCTGTATTTGAAGTCTCACGGGAAATATTACTGCTCTTCAGGTTCATTAAAAAAAAGAACACGGCGATCAAGTTTATAAATGCCTTAATAATCCACACTTGCCCTTGTATAGTACATAATGACATCGGTGCTGGTCATGGTGCCATGAGGAACATGCTCCTTCAGGTGCTGAATTAGTGTGCGCTGAAAATAAGAGGGAAGGAAGAAATGTATATAAATGCAAAGCAAAAGACATGATGGCAAAATATGCTTTCTTAATCAAATGCGGCACACACACACACCCCAGAGTGTATTTCATGATTACAAACATACTGAATCCTGCCCCTTTGCAAAATGCAGCACACCGAAGCAGGCAATACCTGTCCCCATCAGTACACCAGTTTGGGCAGTGTTCCCCATCCCCTTGCATATCCCTTCTCATCCTCCCTCACGAGACCTGAGTAATGCCTGTGTCTAACCTGAAACAAAAGGCACCGGTGACTTCCTTCAAGAACGTTGTCGCCTTTCCATCCTCAGCCCTTAGGGCTGTGCGTTCATTGGCAGAGCTCGTTCTGGCTTGTCTCTGCGGCTCTGCCAGCAACTTGTCCCAAGTATATAAGCCGTAGTGAGCGTTTCAGATGTCACAGTGTATGAGACCCAAAGCTGTTCTGAACCTAGTCATCACAAACAGCGGATTAATATTTTTGACTAGGTCACCTTGATGATTCAAACCGTTTCATACTTTACGCTTTGGGGATTGCAGACATAACTACCTGCACATCCTCCAAAGCATTCCAGTTACACACAACATGAACAGTAAATGAGAGTACACTGAACAATACTACTGCTCGCTCTTGCCTCTTGCAGGAAAGGTAACTAGCAGCAGGACATTGGCCACCCTTGTCCCCTGTGGCAAGCTGCGGTGTAATGCCTCGTGGTTGTGTCAGGGTTGCTGCGTAGTTTTACTAATAGGTTAGAGAAGGGATTGGCTCGGGATGATCCTGCCTCTGGTGAGGGTTAGGACTAGACGGCCTCTGAAGGTCCTTTTCCAGTACTCCTTTATATGACTCTATGATAAAGTATCTCTTTTTTTAGCTCATGATGAAGCTATTAGGGTCTTTACATACAAACAAGATGCATAGATTCATAGATGTTAGGGTCAGAAGGGACCTCAACAGATCATCGGGTTCGACCACCTGCAAAGGCAGGAAAGAGGGCTGGGTCTAGATGACCCCAGCTAGATGCTTATCTAACCTCCTCTTGAAGACCCCCAGGGTAGGGGAGAGAACCA